ACCCACACACACATATATACAAACACATACACAGACAAACCCGTAACAGTATGCTTTTTGTGTAGCTGCTGCACAGCACAAAACGCATAAAAAGGGAGGATTTTTATCAATCTCTGCTCCCAATTTTGGCATTTTCCCTTACATTTTTTAAAGTACAATATATTCGCAGTTTATGCATTGAGGTCTGCTGAAAACCAATCAAATAATCACTTTTTCACCACAAAAAAAGTTTCAAAAATTTCAAACGACTAACCCAAGCACAATCATATTCTATTTTAAACTGCTCCACCCGTTCCATGAATTCTTTACACTTTACGTTGGCTGCTCTCATTTCCAAAAATGCACAGAATGCGCTCGCGATTTGTGCTTTATTTCTTCTCTGCAAAAAAAAAAAATATTGGAGAAATAAGTCGTTCAAATTTTTAAAAAATTCAAAAAATCAAAAAAAAATTCGAAAAAAAATCTAAATGCGGAAGTTTTATGATATCAGGGACTAGCATGCTATCTACGCGAAATACATCCGTGGCATTTATCCCACAAGGCACAAAATGATTATATTTGTAGCCTCTCAATTATTACTGAGTCGGATAACGTACCTTTCGGCGGATCTTACTCGCAGCCGTAGGGATATGATACACTTGCCCATGGTACCCATGTGTTTTTGGGTGGGTAATGCCTCCTTGCCCTACGCTACCCACGTGTTTTTAGGTGGGTAATGCCTCCTTGCCCTACGTTACAGACAAAGTTTTTATACAAGCAGCATTACCTTTCCCCGCTCCCCTCTCCACCATCCGATCACAATTCGCTTTTGGTGCTAAAAAAAACCAATTCCTCCACGAGAATTCCGGTAGTGGCAAGTGCCAGGGAAATAAGAACTATAATTAGCTTGGTATTCTAAGTAATACTCGGAAGCATAGGCAGATCCAGGAGAAGAGTAATAGATATTTCGCTTTCCCATCCCTCAACGGCACAGGCACCAATGCTACAAAAGTCCAGTTTTAAAGCTAAAACTGAAGAAAACTCTCTTCCGCACTGCTCGTCGCTTCCCCCGTCCCCTCCCTCTCCTCCCCCTCCCCCCTGCTTCCCTAGAAACCCCAATCCTAGCCCTTTTCTTTCTGCTCCTAGGCCATCGACAGCTAAGATTCCAGTGGAAGACTGCAAAGACTAAAGAGGAGATTGCGACCACTCAAAAGCTACTTTTTCAGCGTCCCATGTTCCAAAGGGGTCGAAATTTGCGGGGAAATTTGTCTTCTTATTTTTTCAAAGGCTATTTCTGGACAAAATTAGGCATCTGCAAGGACATTTTCCCCAATATTTTTAAAGAAAATGCAAAAAAAAAAAACATACCAGAAGCGCCGCAATTTTTCCGGCGCGCAGAAATGTATCATCAATGATTTTCGTGTTTGCGTTCTCCAGCGTTTCTTTGGCGGTGTCCAAATCGGGTTTATTCTTTTCCATGACATGCAATCTGAACAGCAGCGAAACCAGTAACAACACTTGAAATGGCTTGACAGTGCGTTAAGATGAATAGTACAGGAAGGGGGACTGAACATAGATGTCATGTACAAAAAGACATTTTCTGTGTGTTTCATCCCTTAGCTGTAAACACAGACCGGACTATGCATGCGGGGAGAAGTGGGAATCGTCAGGACGGCCACGTAAACTGCAGTAAAACCAGCAGCGGGAGTTACGGAGGGTGGAAAGCTTAATCTCATAGTTAGTGAAAAAGTTGCTGGTTCTACAGAAAGGTAAAGATTATTAGTTATTCCAGATATTTCAAGCGACAGCACATGGAAGATTTTTACAAAAAAGCTATGTAATCAAATTCATAAGACTGTACTTTGCTAGCTTTGATCGCAATTGCTGCTCAATGACGTTACGTGTTCCCTTCTTTTTCAAAAATTCATCCTGAAAATGCGGAAGCATTATTTGCGGAATTATCACACCACCAGATATCGAATCATCAGCCGGTTAATTACTTCAAAAATTTAAAATTTTCCAAAAATCTTTTTCCAAATTCTTTTTCTTCCTCCTTTCTTTTCCCTTCTTTCTTCACCCCACTTTCTACTCCATCTAATCCCACTATCAGATCGTCGTTCCTTCTA